CAATTACAAGATCTGAGTACTTCTACTTTCACTACAAGATCTGAGTACTTCTACTTTTACTCAAGTACAAGGTCTGAGTACTTTTACTTTTACTCAATTACAAGATCTGAGTACTTCTACTTTTACTCAAGTACAAGACCTGAGTACTTCTACTTTTACTCAAGTACAAGATCTGAGTACTTTTACTTTTACTCAAGTACAAGATCTGAGTACTTCTACTTTTACTCAAGTACAAGATCTGAGTACTTCTACTTTTACTCAAGTACAAGATCTGAGTACTTCTACTTTTACTCAAGTACAAGACCTGAGTACTTCTACTTTATTCTCTCCACTGGAATATAATAAAGTGTTCTGATGAAAGTATTGATATTGAAGTGAGGGTATCTCACAGCTGATTGGTGCAGAGTCCTCCTGCTGAGATCTATAGATCTACCTGTCAGGAGAACAGCAGTGGGGGTGCGGGGGTCATACATGGGAATAATTGATCGGGCTGTAACTAAGACAGAGCCAGTCGTCACGGCAACAGGTGAAACCCTATGTCGTGATTGGCTGTGGGGATCAGATAGAGAGGGATGCTGCTTCTGTAATGGAGAATAGAGTGCAGGTCTTTGAAAGGAATGACTGTCTACATGAGGAAAGCATTAAGACATTACATATCTCCAGAAGATCCTCCTCCACAGTTTCTGGAGCTATGGGGGCTTTGAATGCTTTCCCATTAGCTTTGAGCATGTTAGGTCTATGTATTTATATACAGTATATCGCTGCAGGGAGCGACCCTGAACGTTGCATTATTGGCTCCACAAAGAGCTGTTTGTCTATTGATATGTGCAGTAAATAAGCTTCATGGTAAACAAGCAAAGAAAACGTTTACGAATAAAACTATTTGTGATTAGATTTTACAACAAGCTAAGCTACAATTGATTAGAATAACAGATCTCCACGTTTTAAAAGGCTGGAGATTTCCTTCACCAGTTTTCCTCGAAGTGTAAAGCTTAAATAATCATTTAGAGAGCGTGAGTTTTTTTAATCCGCTTGATTTAATGCAATTAAACTAATTAAATAACTGTAGACGGAAACATAGAACTGGATCAGAACTTAAAATAACCTCCGCCCTGTTGAGAAATTAGAACAGATCAGAGGTGTCACGATCTGTCTTTATGGTGTTTTGTCTTGTCTAGATTTGTCTGTGGTTCCCTGTCGTTAGTTTCCCTGGTGTGTCTGATTACCCGATTGTGTTCACCTGGTGTCCCTGTGTTTTCTCCTCCCTCCTCACCTGTATCTTGTTTGTGTGTTTAGTCTTGTGTGTATTTAAGTTCTGGTTTTTCTGTCTGTCTTTGTCGGTTCGTCTTGTGTCATGACTAGTTCGTCGGTGAGTGTTCTGTTCTGTCTTTGTTAGTATAGCCTTGAAATAAAGGAATTTTCACGTTAATCTGCATTTGGGTCCTACCTGCTTCACACACCGTAACAAGAGGAAATACAGTAGTGATCAAATCCAAAAATATCCACGGTTTGAATCTGTTTTTAGGAAGTTATTTAATGTGATAGACATTGTTTTTTGGGAAATTACGCAGTTGATCTAATCCTGCATGATCAATGATCACATTCAGAAACCATAAGTGAATCAATTTATTTAATTTATTCTGGAAAATCTCTTTTTTTTACTGTCCTGACGTCAATAACCTTTGGAAGAAATGCAAGAATGCATATCTTAAAGTGTATTTTGTTCACTTAAAACAACTTTACATAGACGTAATAATGAAAGAGGCTCTCCTCTCCTGTAGTGTGTGTTTATTTAGTGCATGTCAATGGTCTGCAGAGGCTGAAATCCCTGTTCCCTCCCCCAAAAATAAGGATTACTGGACTGTTTTTAAAACATGTTGTGATTTGCAACCATAGGAACAAAAAGGCAGAACAAGTACTCTTGTTAGGATTATAGAAAGATTATGATTTGGCTTTTGTTACGCAAGGGGTTTTCCTCGGGGGCAAATAGTTGCTCCAATAAAATAAATGCCATAAAAACAAAGATAACACAGTTATATCAATAAAACTCCCCTCAAGGTCCCTTATCTCTCCCAGCTGTGACTCTTCGTGCTGCAGCTCGGGGACTTTGAGACGTGGTGACGCTCCCACGACTTTAACCTGGAATCAAATTCTCTCTCGATGTCTCTGAGCGAGCGTCCAATAAAACACAGGAATCCCAGAGTCAGCACTGAAGCCAGCTGGGTGTCGTGGAAGCTGCTCCTCGTGAACTGTGTCACGTTGGGGTTTTCACAACTGTGTTTGTTTACATTATTCCTGCAATATCCTCTTCTTATATGGCAGCTAGTAGGGCTGGGAATCACCAGGCTCCCCACGATACCATACTTAAGCCACGATACCATACTACCGCCATACTTAAGCCACGATACCATACTATCGCCATACTTAAGCCACGATACCATACTATCGCCATACTTAAGCCACAGTATGATACTATCGCCATACTTAAGCCACGATACGATCCTTAAGTCACGATACTATCGCGATACTTAAGCCACGATACCATACTATCGCCATACTTAAGCCACGATACCATACTATCGCCATACTTAAGCCACGATACCATACTATCGCCATACTTAAGCCACAGTATGATACTATCGCCATACTTAAGCCACGATACGATCCTTAAGTCACGATACTATCGCGATACTTAAGCCACGATACCATACTATCGCGATACTTAAGCCACGATACCATACTATCGCCATACTTAAGCCACGATACCATACTATCGCCATACTTAAGCCACGATACGATCCTTAAGTCACGATACTATCGCGATACTTAAGCCACGATACCATACTATCGCCATACTTAAGCCACAATACGATACTATTGCGATACTTAAGCCACAATACCATACTATCGCCATACTTAAGCCACGATACGATACTATCGCCATACTTAGGCCACGATACCATCCTTAAGTCACGATACTATCACGATACTTAAGCCACGATACCATACTATCGCCATACATAGGCCACGATACGATACTATCGCCATACATAGGCCACGATACGATACTATCGCCATACATAGGCCACGATACGATACTATCGCCATACATAGGCCACGATACCATCCTTAAGTCACGATACTATTGCGATACTTAAGCCACGATACCATACTATCGCCATACTTAAGCCACAATACCATACTATCGCCATACTTAAGCCACAATACCATACTATCGCCATACTTAAGCCACAGTACGATACTATCGCCATACTTAAGCCACGATACGATCCTTAAGTCACGATACTATCACGATACTTAAGCCACGATACCATACTATCGTGATACTTAAGCCACAATACCATACTATTGCCATACTTAGCCCACAATACCATACTATCGCGATACTTAAGCCACAATACCATACTATCGCCATACTTAAGCCACGATGCGATACTATCGCCATACTTAAGCTATGATACGATCCTTAAATCACGATACGATACTATTGCGATACTTAAGTCACGATACGATACTATCGCGATACTTAAGCCACAATACGATACTATCCCCATACTTGAGCCACGATACGATACTATCGCCATACTTAAGCCACAATACGATCCTTAAATCACGATACGATACTATCGCGATACTTAAGTCACGATACTATCGCGATACTTAAGCCACAATACTATCGCCATACTTAAGCCACGATACTATCGCGATACTTAAGTCACGATACTATCGCCATACTTAAGCCACAATACGATACTATCGTGATATTTAAGCCACAATACGATATATTGCGATATTGCAAATCCCATGGGTCATATCCATGTCCGTCTTCCCTTCCTGGTTAAAACATTTGCTATATGAATAGTTTGTGTGAATAACCCAATGTGTGTTCTTTGAACCTGAAAAGGAGATGATTTTGTTACTTTCGTTGCGATCGTAAACACGTCTTAACTTCCTGTTTTACATAGACATGCTTTGCGCTGTTAGCAGGAAGCTACTGTTCCCAAAACAACAACTTGACGGAGAAAAAGAACGGAGATAAAGTACAGATATTAACGGAGATATCAACATTTAAATACGGCGATATCGAAATATAACGTTTACATTAAAGTGTTAGCAAGAGGCTCAAAGTTAGTGTTGACTGTACACATGTGATTTGTGTCTTCGTTTATATACTGTATTATAACTAACTATTTGGAGTTCACTTGTTTCACGGTATTCTAAAGTAATGCTCATATAGATGTAGCTTAAATGTATTTGTTGTTTTGTGTCTTTGTGGAGCTCTTACGTTGGTTTGGAGCTTTCAATAAACCCTTTGTGTCTTTGAAGAACGCCCTGAAGACACGCAGAGCACCTGACCGGAGGTAGAGAAGCAGGAATTGAATTGAGAAGCATTAGTTGTGGTTTCTAAAATAACACGTAAACAGAAGCATGTGATGCTGCTTCTCCTTCAGGATGTGATCCAGAACATCCTGCAGTATATTGACGGGAGGATCAGAAAAGTTTTCTCGTACTTTTTTTGCAGATGTCATGAAGTGGAGAGGTCAGCTGACAAAAGCCTGGTCTCTAATCTGCTGTAGGATCCATGCAGGGATTGTTATTGTTGATGAGGGTCTGCTGTCGTTTGTGTCGTGCTTCCCCTCTTAGGAGCAGACTTTAAATACTCTAAGCTCCCGTATGACTTCATGAATCTAACAGAAGCTAAGCAGGGCGCTTTATTGTTTCATGTGTGCTGTGGACACGGAGAGGGACACGTGTTGCTTCAGTGGAAGTCTGTGAACAGTTTTCAAAGACGTTAATGCAACAGTATGTTATTATCAGGAAGAACACATCGTACGTGATAGGCTAAGGGGCGGGACATCTCTAAGCAGCTTCCCAATCACACAATGAGCAGAGTAGAGCCCCTTTAATTGACTTCCTTCCCCCCTGAACAATACCATGCATTTACAGAAAGCTTCTCCTTCTATAGTCCCGCCCTACAGACTCCTCCAGATGCCCCCCGCCCCGCCCTGCAGACTCCTCCAGATGCCCCCCGCCCCGCCCTGCAGACTCCTCCAGATGCCCCCCGCCCCGCCCTGCAGACTCTCCAGATGCCCCCCCGCCCCGCCCTGCAGACTCGTCCAGATGCCCCCCGCCCCGCCCTGCAGACTCGTCCAGATGCCCCCCGCCCCGCCCTACAGACTCCTCCAGATGCCCCCCGCCCCGCCCTGCAGACTCCTCCAGATGCCCCCCGCCCCGCCCTGCAGACTCCTCCAGATGCCCCCCGCCCCGCCCTGCAGACTCCTCCAGATGCCCCCCCGCCCCGCCCTGCAGACTCCTCCAGATGCCCCCCGCCCCGCCCTGCAGACTCCTCCAGATGCCCCCCGCCCCGCCCTGCAGACTCGTCCAGATGCCCCCCGCCCCGCCCTGCAGACTCCTCCAGATGCCCCCCCGCCCCGCCCTGCAGACTCCTCCAGATGCCCCCCGCCCCGCCCTACAGACTCCTCCAGATGCCCCCCGCCCCGCCCTACAGACTCCTCCAGATGCCCCCCCCCCCCGCCCTGCAGACTCCTCCAGATGCCCCCCGCCCCGCCCTGCAGACTCCTCCAGATGCCCCCCGCCCCGCCCTACAGACTCCTCCAGATGTCCCCCGCCCCGCCCTACAGACTCCTCCAGATGTCCCCCGCCCCGCCCTACAGACTCCTCCAGATGCCCCCCGCCCCGCCCTGCAGACTCCTCCAGATGCCCCCGCCCCGCCCTGCAGACTCCTCCAGATGCCCCCCGCCCCGCCCTGCAGACTCCTCCAGATGCCCCCCGCCCCGCCCTGCAGACTCCTCCAGATGCCCCCCGCCCCGCCCTGCAGACTCCTCCAGATGCCCCCCCGCCCCGCCCTGCAGACTCCTCCAGATGCCCCCGCCCCGCCCTACAGACTCCTCCAGATGCCCCCCGCCCCGCCCTGCAGACTCCTCCAGATGCCCCCCGCCCCGCCCTGCAGACTCCTCCAGATGCCCCCCGCCCCGCCCCTGCAGACTCCTCCAGATGCCCCCCGCCCCCGCCCTGCAGACTCCTCCAGATGCCCCCGCCCCGCCCTACAGACTCCTCCAGATGTCCCCCGCCCCGCCCTGCAGACTCCTCCCAGATGCCCCCCCGCCCCGCCCTACAGACTCCTCCAGATGTCCCCCCCGCCCCGCCCTACAGACTCCTCCAGATGCCCCCCGCCCCGCCCTACAGACTCCTCCAGATGCCCCCCGCCCCGCCCTACAGACTCCTCCAGATGCCCCCCGCCCCGCCTACAGACTCCTCCAGATGCCCCCGCCCCGCCCTGCAGACTCCTCCAGATGCCCCCCGCCCCGCCCTGCAGACTCCTCCAGATGCCCCCCGCCCGCCCTGCAGACTCGTCCAGATGCCCCCCGCCCCGCCCTGCAGACTCCTCCAGATGCCCCCCGCCCCCGCCCTGCAGACTCCTCCAGATGCCCCCCGCCCCGCCCTACAGACTCCTCCAGATGCCCCCCGCCCCGCCCTACAGACTCCTCCAGATGCCCCCCGCCCCGCCCTGCAGACTCCTCCAGATGCCCCCCGCCCCGCCCTGCAGACTCCTCCAGATGCCCCCCGCCCCGCCCTACAGACTCCTCCAGATGTCCCCCGCCCCGCCCTACAGACTCCTCCAGATGCCCCCCGCCCCGCCCTACAGACTCCTCCAGATGCCCCCCCCGCCCCGCCCTGCAGACTCCTCCAGATGCCCCCCCCCCCCCGCCCTACACACTCCTCCAGATGCCCCCCGCCCCGCCCTGCAGACTCCTCCAGATGCCCCCCGCCCCGCCCTGCAGACTCCTCCAGATGCCCCCCGCCCCGCCCTACAGACTCCTCCAGATGCCCCCCCGCCCCGCCCTGCAGACTCCTCCAGATGCCCCCCGCCCCGCCCTACAGACTCCTCCAGATGCCCCCCGCCCCGCCCTGCAGACTCCTCCAGATGCCCCCCGCCCCGCCCTGCAGACTCCTCCAGATGCCCCCCCGCCCCGCCCTGCAGACTCCTCAGATGCCCCCCGCCCCGCCCTGCAGACTCCTCCAGATGCCCCCCGCCCCGCCCTACAGACTCCTCCAGATGTCCCCCCCCCCCGCCCTGCAGACTCCTCCAGATGCCCCCCGCCCCGCCCTACAGACTCCTCCAGATGTCCCCCGCCCCGCCCTACAGACTCCTCCAGATGCCCCCCGCCCCGCCCTACAGACTCCTCCAGATGCCCCCCGCCCCGCCCTACAGACTCCTCCAGATGCCCCCCGCCCCGCCCTACAGACTCCTCCAGATGCCCCCCGCCCCGCCCTGCAGACTCCTCCAGATGGACATTTAGATGCTGGATCTCAGAGCAGACAGGAAATTAAAAGCTCTGCAGAAAACCAAGAAAGAGCGAGGGTCGTTGGGTTCCTCCGTGAGGTTCTTCTAGCGGATGAAATGGTTTAAGTCATAAAACCAGAACCATATGTGTGTTGCACGAGATGCTTGATTTGACAAGTCATAACCCGCTTTAATATCGCTTACATCTCAAAGTATGTCTTTATTCTTTGAGAGGGAACGGACTGTACTTAAAAATCTCTTCATCAGGTGTTTTGGACTCAAAACTCTTTACATGAGTTATTCACACCTCATTCAGAGTAGAGCAGCACCACTTGGAAGCTATCACTCCACACACACACACACGCACACACACAGATACTCACACACCTCACTCACACACACACACTCACACACACACTCACTCACACACACACACTCACACAGACACTCACTCACACACACACTCACTCTCACACTCACACACACACACTCACACTCACTCACACACACACACACACACACTCTCTCTTTCTCACACACACACACACACACTCACTCACACTCTCTCTCTCTCACACACACTCTCTCTCACTCACACACACACTCTCTCTCTCTCACACACTCACTCACTCACACACTCACACAGACACTCACACACACACACACACACCGTTGGCCGGGCTGGGATCGAACCAACAACCTGTTCACAGACGACCCCCTCAGCCACAGCACCGTATATCAAACAGCAGCCGCTCTTATGATCCTGCAGTCTGAGTCCAACGTCAGCTTTACGACGTCTTTAAACCCTCCTTACAATATTTTTTAAACCTGTAATCGGTGTGTATTCCCAGTTTTCCTTGACCTCCCGCCCTCACATACTCATACTCATACCTCATACATGCTCAGTCTCTCTGATCTCATTATAGTAATCAGCTTTAGCCCCATCCTCTTCCTCACCGTGGATCCAACGTGTCTAAATGCTTTCATATCAATATGTTTCTAACACGCCTCGTGTTCCAGAATTGGACAAAGTGATAATTGGCGTTCACAAATCAGCAGGCATGAGACCTTTAATAACTCTCCACTGCTTTGATGATAACGGGGGGGGGGGGGGGGATGCATGCTCTCTTTGGGAGAAGAGGCTCGTTGTTGGTGCAGCAGAGGAGCGATTTGATGGTGATGAGGATGAGGATGAGGGTGTGACGTGTCTCATGACAGCAGGAAGCGTCGCTGCTGCAGGGCGATCACATGGCCGTCAAATAAATCGTCTCTATCACATGGAGATAGTGTGTGTTCATATGACCTGCAAACACACACTAATGCATCATGGGAGTGAGACATGAAGCACACTTTACTCGCACTTGGATTTGAACTGTTTATGTTTTCTGTTACTGATTTTATGTAAAGCGTCAGGAAAATCCAATGTATTATTATTATAAAAACACCTAAATAGCATTGATATTTAAAGCCTTTTCTGCACACAGCTGCTCTCACGTGGCGACGTCTTGTTATTCTGTCATGTGATCATATTAGTCCCTTCAGAATGGTGTGTGTGTGTGTGTGTGTGTGTGTGTGTGTGTGTATAGGATGCTGTGGCTGCTCCTCTTGCTGCTTCCTGCGTTCTGCGACGGCCGGATCGCGGCTCCAGGAGTCGCTCATAAAACCCCAAACCGCTCCGGTGAGTCCGTGGAGCACATTGTTCCACGCAGATCTGGGTTTTTCAAAAATGCAAACATACAAGAATATGTTGTCAATCATTTAATACATATTCTATATTAATGGAACCTCTGGGCTTTTTAAAAGTATTTATTTTTCACTTTTTTGTACAGTATTTTCCTTCATATCTTTCTGTCTTTATTGCATCTATATTTATGTGATTTGCACTTGATATATTTAAGTTATGCACCAAAGCAGACGAACAAAAATACACGAATAATCTAAAAATAATGGGGTTTTTAAACGTATTTTTTTATATATATATTTTTCTTTTTATATTTATTGAATTTAATTTTCTCCTCTAAATATTTGTACAGTATTCTTGAATACTGTTGTTTATCCGTCTTCCTCTCCGTATGTTGTAGTTTTTCTTTACTCTATAAAGGATGTTTCTTTGAAATATTAAGTCGTATTTTAATCGACTTTTTTTTGTATTTTCAACCTATTTTTTGTGTTTTTTCTTTTACATTTTCTTGATAGTTTTCCTGTGTGTTCTTGAATATATGTTCCTCTATAGGCCCTAGTGACGTGTCCCTGCCTCTCACGGTGTAAGTGGTCCCCAGACTAGCCCCCCCCCTCTTCAGATGCAGTAATTTGCTCTGCAGGAGTGCATTATTCTCTCTTTCTGAGAAGCGTTTTGAGCTCCTTACAGTGAACACAGCCGGCCTCTGTGTGCCTCACATTCCCTCCTGGACTAATCCCCCCCGACAGGAAGTCCTGCCGCCGCTCGATGTGTGGCGCGGAGGAGGATCGTTCACCTGTATCAACGTTTCTTTCTTTAGTCCATTCTTTTCTTTTTGTAATTCAAATTTTAATAGAATGTTTCATTCAGAACAAAGAAACATTGGCGGTAAACTGCATAAACAAACCCCAACGATACTCCTCAGCATTTTCCGTTCAGTCCATTGTTAAATCACAAAGGTTTCCTGACTGATGTACCTGTACCTGAACACACCTGTTCTTCTCCGCGGGGGGTCTCACTCTCCTCTTTTCTCCCTCAGTGGACGTGAAGTCTCGGCCTCTCATCTACTTCTGCCGCTCGCCCAACATGGAGGACTTCAGCTGCTGGTGGCGCCCGCTGGAGAACCTGACGGAGGAAGTGTCCTACGTCCTCACATACTCCAAAGAGTACGTGAAAACATTTTAAATCCTGACATCTGAGAGCCTGGAACCATCTAGCTCTCTCATTGTGTAAGATAGAAGTCACTTAATGATCTGATTGACTTTAGAGGAGATTAAACCATCTTAGCTTCACATTCTCATATTTAAAGACTTCAAATTAGCTGTAAATTAACAAGAAATTACCTTAAATTTGCTGTAAATTAACAAGAAATTACCTTAAATTTGCTGTAAATTAACAAGAAATTACCTTAAATGAGCTGTAAATTAAAAGAAATGACCTTAAATGATCTGTAGTAAAATGGAAAGCGGCCTCCCATCAAAGCAGACTGGCGGTTCTGGGTCGTATAGATTTTAAACCATTTCACGCTCCACCACCTCAGCGAGAAGCTATTTAACACGTCGATATTTCTGCCCCTGAACACCTCACGTGGCGTCGCCCCGTGCAAACACGTCAGAGCAGAAATCAGGACACGTTTGATTTCTGACGGCAATCTGCATTCAGGTGATAAGAAAAGGTCAGAAACAAGCGCGGATAAAAGGCAATTAAAGTGATAACGATCAGTTAACAACCTTAAAGGCCGCAGGTCTGTTTCTGATCAGCCAACACATGATTAGATTTAATATAAACATGCCGCAGTAATTTAACTATAAGATTTGCAGAAAGTAAAAGTGTGTTTTTTCCAACAAAAACTGATTTAATGTTTTCATTTCAGCTTCTAATGCTGCAGTGATGTGGCCTTTGCATCCCTATAGAGCTGGAGCTAATCAATATTTAAATTATTTGTGATTAATTATTTAACGTGGGAAATAACAAGTGGGAACATTTGCTTCATATCAGCAACAAAACTGGGGTGTTAGAGCTAGAATTTGACACGAAACAAATCATTTCTGACGGCTTCTCGCGCTAAATTGAAATGACAATGTGAAAGGTGAAATGAGAGATTGTTAGAGAACTCTCACTCGTCCCCGGCTTGAGCTTCAATCTCAGGATCCATGTATTTACTATCCTCTCCAGAATGGAAGTAGTCATCAAATACAGAGCATCAACTAGTTCTTGAACAGTGTCCTTCACATGCTACGACTACAATGACTTATACTACTCCTACTACTCCTACTTACAGTATACTACTAACACCACTACTACTACTACCAGTGGCGGCGCCAGAGTATTTTTGTTGGGTAATCTATGGTAGGGCTAACCCACACAGTGGTGGGGCTCAAGTCAGTATTTGTAATATAATTACATACACGCTATATCGCCCCCCTTGACAGTGAAACGCCACGCGTGAAGCTTTTATTAGTCTCCTTTTATCAGCTAAATTACATCGAGAGCAACAGGTGTGAGTTAAACCATACAATAGCCTATTCTGCTAATTCCACGTTGTTACAACATGCTACGCAGCGGCAGAAACAAGAAAAGTTGGCATATAGAATTGACACGGAGAGAGAGAGAGTGAGGGAGAGAGAGAGAGTGAGGGAGAGAGAGAGAGTGAGGGAGAGAGACAGAGAGACAGAGACACAGGTAAACAGAGAGAGACAGACACAGCACACAACAGGTAGCCTGTATCTCTATTGTCATACAAAACACTTTTTCAAAAATCTCCCATTATTACAAAATATATTCAAAACTCACTATTCACTCTTCAGGTGGGTCGTGTGACTCTGGCACCTGTTCGGCTTGTACCTCAATGCGAGGGCGTTTAAGAACAAATCTATCCATCCGAAATATACAATTAAACCTAGAAGTTCTGCTGTCTGTCTGTCTGCAATTTACTCGGCGCGAGTTTGGGGACTTTCCACTGTGAACGTGACGAATCAGTAATGCATGACGCAGCAGACCCAACGTTTCGTTGCTCTGATTGGCTGTAGGTCTGTTCAAATTGCATTCGGAGGCATTTTGATCTGACCGCGGCCGCGCTGATATTATAACGCGAGAGAATGTCCACACCTTTAGTGTATAAAACTCCCCCACTACTTAGACTATTCCTTGCACCCCTCTAGCATAAGCCCGAATGGTCTCAACCATATTGCGTCAGTAACGTGCACTTATGGCTGTAGCCTACCCCAGCCATACCCTGGCGCCGCCACTGACTACTACTACTACTACTACTACTACTACCACTACTACTACTACCACTACTACTACTACCTACTACTACTACTACTACTACTACTACTACTACTACTACTACTACTACCACTACTACTACTACCACTACTACTACTACCACTACTACTACTACTACTACCACTACTACTACCACTACTACTACTACTACTACCACTACTACTACTACTACTACCACTACTACTACTACTACCACTACTACTACTACTACTACCACTACTACTACTACTACTACTACTACTACTACTACTACTACTACTACCACTACTACTACTACTACTACCACTACTACTACTACTACTACTACTACTACTACTACTACCACTACTACTACTACTACTACTACTACTACTACTACTACTACCACTACTACTACTACTACTACTACTACTACTACTACCACTACTACTACTACCACTACTACTACTACTACTACCACTACTACTACTACCACTACTACCACTACAATGACTTATACTACTCCTACTACTTCTCCTACTTACGGCCCGTCCACACAGCGGCGTGCGTTGACGCTTGCCGGCGGTTGTGTCTGACACTCGACCAACAACCAATCACATGAATCTCCCGCCCCAGACACACAAGCACGCGGTTTGATTGGCTAGAGCTTGTACTGGCATATGATTCGATTGGCTGACGCCTCCATCGAGGCGTCAAAAGTTGAACATTGCTCAACTTTTGAAGCGAGCAACGCCAGCAACGCTCCACGTCGCTTCCCAAAATGCAGTTCGGCTAAAAGTGACGTCACCCCATTCAAAGTGAATGGGCAGAAGCGTTGGAAGCTTCAACGCACGCCGCTGTGTGGACGGGCCGTTACAGTATACTACTAACACCACTACTACTACTACTCCAACGTATACTACTAACACCACTACTACTACTACTACTACTACCACCACCAAGTCCACCACTACCACAGACTTTTCTTTTTGTCGCTGCTTTTAATTGAACTATTCATATCTTAAACTGCACTGTAACTTTTATCCATGTACTTTTTTCTTTTAATGTTTATTTTATTAGCTTTTCTTTTTAATGACTGATTTTAAATGCCATTTTCTTAATGTCTTTCATTTTTTGTAAAGCACTTTGAATTGCCTTGTGTTGAAAAGTGCTATATAAATAAACTTGCCTTGCCTTGCCTTGCCTTACTACTCATACAACTACTACTACTACTACTACCACACTGTTAGGAAAATATCACTGGTCACCAGCTTGAGCTTCGATATCAGGATCCATGTATTTATGACATTTATCACATATAGAGCATCAACTAGTTCCTGAACAGTCAATCAATCAATCAATGTTTATTTATAGCCCAATATCACAAATGTTACATTTGTCTCAGTGGACTTCACAGTTTGTACAGAATATCAGTATGACAATACGACACCCTCTGTCCTTAGACCCTCTGTCCTTAGACCCTCTGTCCTTAGAACCTCTGACCTTAGACCCTCTGTCCTTAGACCCTCTGTCCTTAGACCCTCTGTCCTCAGACCCTCTGTCCGTAGACCCTCTGTCCTCAGACCCTCTGTCCTTAGACCCTCTGTCCTCAGACCCTCTGTCCTTAGACCCTCTGTCCTCAGACCCTCTGTCCTCAGACCCTCTGTCCTTAGACCCTCTGTCCTTAGACCCTCTGTCCTCAGACCCTCTGTCCTCAGACCCTCTGTCCTTAGACCCTCTGTCCTTAGACCCTCTGTCCTCAGACCCTCTGTTCCGACCCTCTGTCCTTAGACCCTCTGTCCTTAGACCCTCTGTCCTCAGACCCTCTGTCCTCAGACCCTCTGTCCTCAGACCCTCTGTCCTCAGACCCTTTGTCCTTAGACCCTCTGTCCTCAGACCCTCTGTCCTTAGACCCTCTGTCCTCAGACCCTCTGTCCTTAGACCCTCTGTCCTCAGACCCTCTGTCCTTAGACCCTCTGTCCTTAGACCCTCTGTCCTCAGACCCTCTGTCCTCAGACCCTCTGTCCTTAGACCCCTCTGTCCTTAGACCCTCTGTCCTCAGACCCTCTGTCCTCAGACCCTCTGTCCTTAGACCCTCTGTCCTTAGACCCTCTGTCCTCAGACCCTCTGTCCTCAGACCCTCTGTCCTCAGACCCTCTGTCCTTAGACCCTCTGTCCTTAGACCCTCTGTCCTTAGACCCTCACATCGTACAAGGAAAAACTTCCAAAAAAGGAAAAATATGCCTAAAACAGTCCTGGTGCTCTTCTAGGTAATCACACATCCTGTCATGAACACATACAGTTGGGGTACCTTTGTTATCATGTGGACTCTCATGTTGGAAGAGGACATTCACTACTTTCACAGCAGAGATTTAAATAAAGAGCTTTTTGTCCCCAAACTAAACCGTGGTGTCTCGCAGCAAGGAGCCTCAGCAGGAGTGTCCGGACTACGTGAGCTCCGGACCCAACAGCTGCCACTTCGACAAGAAACACACCATCATCTGGAAGTTTTACTGCCTGAACGTCACCGCCGTCACCAAACACGGGAACTACACTTCCCAGAAGCACTGCCTGGACGTGGCCGACATAGGTGAGGAGTAGAGCGGTGCAGGGATGATGTATTTCTGTAGTTCGACCCGGAAGGAAGCTGCTGGTTCCCTCGACAAAAAGCAACGGGATTTCTCCATAGGACTTTGGAATATGTAAAAAATAAGATCTGTGGAAAACTAACCGGTTTGATAAATGCACGTTTTGTTCAGCCGGATAATCTCCACACGTCTACCCTACTTTTATAATGGTCGAATCATAAATCTAACGTCCAGAAGCTAAATGCTAACGTTATGCTATAAAGGAACTACAGCAGGGTCCAGCAGCACGACTTCAACGTCACGCCTACTTCAGATCCATGTTCAAACACACAGATTCTAGATGGAACGAGTTGAAGCGTTTGTTTGAACACTTTGCAGGAGGCAGGGACTTGCTTTCAAGCAGAACAGAAACTAACTTAGAGGAGTGTTCACGTGTTCGGTGTAATGACGTACAACGACCTCCACGACTTCTGTAGTCCTATTCAGCCACTTGGTAACAACCATAGTTTCTCAGACACGTCCACTCTTCAGAAATCACAGTGGGGTCACTGCTAATGATTTAATGTAGAACAAAACGTGATCCGTCTCTTCAATGAGTCTCAACCACAGACCTTATTTCAGCTAGTGTCCTAAATCCTATGGAGAGATCCCATTGGCTCTGAGACGAGGGAACAGGAAGTGGAGAAATGCTGACTCACTTCCGGGTTTTAGGACTCACTGCACCACTCTATCGTGGCCGCAAGAAAAAGATAAGATAACTTTATTTATCTCCGTGGGGAAATTCAGGCGTTTATAGCAGCAACAGGTCAGAGTTAACACAAGGTAAACATAAAGTAGAATAAAACATTTAAATAATAATACAACATTTTTTTTAAATAAAGTGATGAAGCAATCTAGAACCAAGATATCACAGTAAACCCATTTAAATCCCCCCCTTTATCAAAGCCAGAAACTGTAAGAAGTGAATAAATTGTCGGATTTTCAATGATGGTGAAATCTGTTAAAAAAGTAGATTATTTGAGATGAGTTTACACTAACGAGTTTCTGTACAAAACATTAAACTCTGAGCTTCTCTGCGCTACCCTAAAGGCATGAACGAATCAGCTGAGACGAACGCTTGCATGATTAGAAATGCAATACATATTTTAATTTACACGCTGTTCACATGGAGAGGTTTCAATAGATCCACATTAAAAAGGTTATGGAGGCATTTAAAGACATCATGCCAGCACTTATAGATATAGATATACAAATTGTATAATCAGTGTTTTTATGGTTTAATAAGTTCATTTATTAACCTCATTTGGCAACACAGGAAAAGCTAATTATAAAAGGGCCGTGACATGAGATTAAACACAGTCGTGAACCGGCAGGAGAATTGAGAGTAAAGTCGGTTTCCGCTGTATTTTAGGGATCCCTTTATTTAGGGTTTCACAAAAAGCACAGCAAACACACGAATGATTTGATCAAGGACTCAGTGTGTGTTATTATCCAGACGCTGTCCCTCCACTTCCTGTGTGTGTGTGTGTGTGTGTGTGTGTGTGTGTGTGTGTGTGTGTGTGTGTGTGTGGTGTGTGTGTGTGTGTGTGTGTGTGTGTGTGTGTGTGTGTGTGTGTGTGTGTGTGTGTGTGTGTGTGTGTGTGTGTGTGTGTGTGTTTTAAGGTTAGGATAAGTCTCCAGGAAATGCATGTAAGTCAATGTAATGTCCCCTGAAGTGATGTAAACATGGTATGTGTGTGTGTGTTAGACTCTGTTACTGTGTGTGTGGGTGTGTGTGTGTGTGTGTGTGTGTGTGTGTGTGTGTGTGTGTGTGTGTGTGTGTGTGTGTGTGTGTGTGTGTGTGTGTGTTCGTTCTTATTTATATTGTAAAACAGACAAAAATAGCAGATCATTTCACAGTTTTCTGTACAAATGACCTCAATAATCATTGTTTGTTGAATATATTTCTACAGTTACACTAATTGGTTAATTGACTTAATTGTTTAAACCCCTAATACTCCCAGTAAATATTAAAAAAACATACTTTAACAGTTTAAATTGGAATAAAAACAATGCAATCAAAGCAGTATGTTTAATTAAAAGTTATAATGGTATGTTTTTATGATACTTGTACATACATATGAATAATGTAACATAACATTCAGGCATCTTTATCATGTATAAACGAAAGCATGCATAGAATGAATAATAGATGACCCAACAGACGGATGTCATAATGAATAATGGAGGACATTAGCTCACTATAACATCCAGAGTAATGCTCTGTTTAAAGATTAACATCGACATGCATGAATGATCCAAACATAAAAACAGTCTTATCTTATGTTATCTTCTCTTATCTTCTCTTATCTTCTCCCCCCCCCCCCCCCCCCCCACAGTGCAGATGGAGGCTCCGGTGAACCTGTCCTTCGTGCTGGAGGAGGCGGGGGGGGATGAGATGGGTCACAACGCCCTGCTGTCCTGGATCTACCCGGTGCCGGCACACCTGAAGTACGGATGGATCACTCTGGAGCACGAGCTGCAGTACCGCCGGGTCAGCGAGCCTGACGTGTGGAAGGTACACTCACACAGAAATCACCTTGAAAGGCCTCCTATCACGCAACATGCACTTTCTGATGTCTTTTCTACATCAACATGTGTCCCCCGAGACTCACAAAGCGTCAGGAAATCTCTTCTCCTCCGTACCCACATCTCTAAAAACGGGGAACAACGGAGCTGATTCAGATTTGTTGCATCATGACCACATTACTAAAATGTGGGCGGGCTTTACCCCCACGGGCCAATCAGAAACGTTGCTGTCAGAAACAATTAGACCTGTTCTGGAAGTAATATGGTCTGTGTTTACATTAGCATGCTAACACTCAGAGCTAACCTGTACTGGAGAGAGTGGGTGTTTCTCCATGTTGAGTAAAGCTGCTCCAGAGCCACTATTTCAAGCATGCTACGTCAGCGAGTGCCGCCGAAGGACTGTTCCAACGTCCAGCATACTTGGAATCCTACCGAGCCCGGCGTACTTCGTTTGGAGACATTTCGAGGCATGTGTAGACTCCGCAGTCTTAAAATCCCCACAATGCTTTGCGCACGGACCAATTTCCCCAAATCTGTGGCGGAAAATGTAAGGCGGGGCCTCTCGTATGACGCACACCTGCACACTTGCTCGCCTGTTCCATTCTTTGTTTTCCGAATGCCAGGAAGTATTCTTGCCTCGCTTCTGAAGCAAGATGCTCGAAAGACATGTGATACCAGTGTACTCGAGATTGAGAAACACCCACAGAGTGTGTGAAGAAGCAGGAAATCAAAAGGAACTCACCTTGTGGTAAAGCTGAGAGAGAGAAGAGTTTGAGCTCCATCCTGTAATTCTGAGCAGGCATTAGCTCCGCCTCCTCTTCTTATTTCAAGCTAAGGACCCTGAATCAGCGTTTCTCTAACAGCTGAGTGTTATGCATGATCTGTTTGGTATTTTGAGCAAAACAATCTGAAAAAATAAATCTGAATATGTTATAATGTTCCCCAGGTGAAGTACCCCCTCAGGGAGCCCCAGGTGGAGCTGCTCGGGCTGCCGGTGGGGGAGTTCGTAGTGCGGGTTCGATGCCGCTCACATAACGCCAGGCTGTGGAGCGAGTGGAGCGATCCGCTGATGATGAGCATCCCCGCCCGGCCGCCTGCAGGTACGCTTCCTGTTGATGAGGGGCAGCTTAGTTCACGGAGGGAAATGCAGATATCTCTTTAAATGGACATTTCTCATGCACATACAAAAAAAACATTAAAGGGGACCTATCATGCAAAATGCACTTTGTGATGTCTTCTCTACATCTATGTGTCCTCGGTGTGTCGGGGAACTCACGCAGCATCAGGAAATAAACCCATCTCTCTTCTCCTCCGTACCCAAATCTCTAAAAACAGGGAACAACGGAGCTGATCCAGATTTGCGTCCGATATGACGTAATATCTGAAATGTGGACCCACGGCCCAATCAGAAACGTTGCTATCAGAAACAATGCCCGACTGTTTAGGACGTAATATGGTCGGTGTTTACATTAGCATCGCTAACACTCAGAGCTAACCTGTACTGGAGAGCATGTGTGTGAAGAAGCAGGAAGTAAAAAGGAACTCACCTTGTGGTATAACCGGCAAGAGAGAAAGCCTTTGAGCTCCAGACTGTTTCAGAGAGAATCCTTGATGATCCATGATATGGCGTTTCATCACGGCAGCATTTAGTTTAGACAGTAGCTGCCGGGTCCCGCATGAGCTCAGACCCCTCCTCTTTAAAGCTTTATACCCGAATCAAATGAGTTAACCCTCCCGCTGCCTCCTGGCGCTGCAGAGATGTCATGAAGTGAAGGAGGTGTTCCTTCTATAAAGCAGCTGCGGGCAGCAGATACTGTGAGAGTCACGGACATGAATTCATAGATCAAGGCAGACTGGTGCACACACTCTCCTGTTTTGCCAATCTGGTGCTTAAACAAATATAGCTCTACACCCCTGGCCGACATGTCCTTAAAATGAAGTCCGAGTTCGACATTTTAATTCATGTCCTGCCAACACTGGCAGGACTAAGCCATGTCCCTCACTCCTCACATCCGAAGCTGCATCCCCAGAACGTGTATTATGTTGTTACATCGTTTCAGTGATGTTTCAGTTGTGCTCTTGATAAACCATTAAAACAGTAGAACACGTTCAGTTTCCTTTTGCTTTGTGTGTCTCCTGTTCACCGAAACATCCATCTGTGATGGAAAAAGAAAGTAATCCAAAAGTAATCTAAAAGTAATCTGATTACTTTTTTAAGACACGTAACTGTAACTGTATTCGGATTACTTTCATGTAATCAGTAATCAGTAACTGATTACATTTACAAAGTAACCCTCCCAGCCCTGGCTATTGCCTGAAAATAGCATGATAGGTGCGGTTCACCTTACATTCATAAACACACCTCCGCCCCTCGATAACCCGTTATGAACACAGAGCTAGAAATACACTGCATTGCTACTACCTCTGCTTCTACCACGAGGACAATGAGAAGGGGAGGGTTTCAATGTATACTGTTCCCGTATTGAAAATGTTTACTACTCCCTGTAACTGCAAGTTTATTTCATTGTAACTCGTGAAATGTTCTCAACTCTCTTCTAAATAAATAAATGGACACTTCTCCATGGACACAAAGAGCTATAAATTAGGCTCAAATTAGTTTAGTATCTGTAAATATGTGTTCCTTGTGTGTCACCTGTGCAGGTAAGCTGCTGGTTCTGATTCTGGTGATGGGGGTGGGGGTGGTGGCTCTGCTGGTGGTCACCCTGGGGCTCCTCCCCCAGAGCAGGAGGTGAGTAAACAGTCAACACACATCCTTTACTCAAGTAGAAGTACACACATCCTTTACTCAGGTAGAAGTACACACATCCTTTACTCAAGTAGAAGTACAGATACTCGTGTTTAAAAATACTCTGATAAAAGTAGAAGTACTGACTAAACTTCTTTACTCAAGTCAAAGTAAAGAACTTTGAAATGTACTTCAGTAGAAAGTACCCATAACTAGCAGCTGCTTTAAAGAGTACCTGACCTCCCTTTATATTAATAGAACAATAATGTCATTGTTAGCTAATGAATGTTTCCATGCTGAACAACGGCAACATGACAACGTTTCCATTGGTCCCTCTTCTTTAGAGAAGACCAGGAAATGATGGATACACGGATCGTGTTCAAATCAATAGGCACGCAATGACTCTAAAGAATAATGATCACGCATCAAACACACATTCAGACTAAAGGAACCAGCTGTTTGGAAAATGAGAGAAGTAGAAAGTACAAGTATTTGAGTTCAACATGTAAGAAGTAGAAAGTACAGGTATTTGAGTTCAACATGTGAGAAGTAGAAAGTACAGGTATTTGAGTTCAACATGTAAGAAGTAGAAAGTACAGATATTTGAGTTCAACATGTAAGAAGTAGAAAGTACAGGTATTTGAGTTCAACATGTAAGAAGTAGAAAGTATCAGGTATTTGAGTTCAACATGTAAGAAGTAGAAAGTACAGGTATTTGAGTTCAACATGTAAGAAGTAGAAAGTACAGGTATTTGTGTTCAACATGTAAGAAGTAGAAAGTACAGGTATTTGAGTTCAACATGTTAGAAGTAGAAAGTACAGGTATTTGAGTTCAACATGTTAGAAGTAGAAAGTACAGGTATTTGAGTTCAACATGTTAAGAAGTAGAAAGTACAGGTATTTGAGTTCAACATGTTAGAAGTAGAAAGTACAGGTATTTGAGTTCAACATGTAGAAGTAGAAAGTACAGGTATTTGAGTTCAACATGTAAGAAGTAGAAAGTACAGGTATTTGAGTTCAACATGTAAGAAGTAGAAAGTACAGGTATTTGTGTTCAACATGTAAGAAGTAGAAAGTACAGGTATTTGAGTTCAACATGTAAGAAGTAGAAAGTACAGGTATTTGTGTTCAACATGTAAGAAGTAGAAAGTACAGGTATTTGAGTTCAACATGTGAGAAGTAGAAAGTACAGGTATTTGAGTTCAACATGTGAGAAGTAGAAAGTACAGGTATTTGAGTTCAACATGTAAGAAGTAGAAAGTACAGGTATTTGGGTTCAACATGTAAGAAGTAGAAAGTACAGGTATTTGAGTTCAACATGTGAGAAGTAGAAAGTACAGGTATTTGGGTTCAACATGTAAGAAGTAGAAAGTACAGGTATTTGAGTTCAACATGTGAGAAGTAGAAAGTACAGGTATTTGAGTTCAACGTGTAAGAAGTAGAAAGTACAGGTATTTGAGTTCAACATGTGAGAAGTAGAAAGTACAGGTATTTGAGTTCAACATGTAAGAAGTAGAAAGTACAGGTATTTGAGTTCAACATGTAAGAAGTAGAAAGTACAGGTATTTGAGTTCAACATGTAAGAAGTAGAAAGTACAGGTATTTGAGTTCAACATGTAAGAAGTAGAAAGTACAGGTATTTGTGTTCAACATGTAAGAAGTAGAAAGTACAGGTATTTGAGTTCAACATGTAAGAAGTAGAAAGTACAGGTATTTGAGTTCAACATGTAAGAAGTAGAAAGTACAGGTATTTGTGTTCAACATGTAAGAAGTAGAAAGTACAGGTATTTGAGTTCAACATGTAAGAAGTAGAAAGTACAGGTATTTGAGTTCAACATGTTAGAAGTAGAAAGTACAGGTATTTGAGTTCAACATGTAAGAAGTAGAAAGTACAGGTATTTGAGTTCAACATGTTAGAAGTAGAAAGTACAGGTATTTGAGTTCAACATGTAAGAAGTAGAAAGTACAGGTATTTGAGTTCAACATGTAAGAAGTAGAAAGTACAGGTATTTGAGTTCAACATGTAAGAAGTAGAAAGTACAGGTATTTGAGTTCAACATGTGAGAAGTAGAAAGTACAGGTATTTGAGTTCAACATGTGAGAAGTAGAAAGTACAGGTATTTGGGTTCAACATGTAAGAAGTAGAAAGTACAGGTATTTGAGTTCAACATGTGAGAAGTAGAAAGTACAGGTATTTGAGTTCAACATGAGAGAAGTAGAAAGTACAGGTATTTGTGTTCAACATGTAAGAAGTAGAAAGTACAGGTATTTGAGTTCAACATGTGAGAAGTAGAAAGTACAGGTATTTGGGTTCAACATGTAAGAAGTAGAAAGTACAGGTATTTGAGTTCAACATGTGAGAAGTAGAAAGTACAGGTATTTGGGTTCAACATGTAAGAAGTAGAAAGTACAGGTATTTGAGTTCAACATGTGAGAAGTAGAAAGTACAGGTATTTGAGTTCAACGTGTAAGAAGTAGAAAGTACAGGTATTTGAGTTCAACATGTGAGAAGTAGAAAGTACAGGTATTTGAGTTCAACATGTAAGAAGTAGAAGTACAGGTATTTGAGTTCAACATGTAAGAAGTAGAAAGTACAGGTATTTGAGTTCAACATGTAAGAAGTAGAAAGTACAGGTATTTGAGTTCAACATGTAAGAAGTAGAAAGTACAGGTATTTGTGTTCAACATGTAAGAAGTAGAAAGTACAGGTATTTGAGTTCAACATGTGAGAAGTAGAAAGTACAGGTATTTGAGTTCAACATGTAAGAAGTAGAAAGTACAGGTATTTGTGTTCAACATGTAAGAAGTAGAAAGTACAGGTATTTGTGTTCAACATGTGAGAAGTAGAAAGTACAGGTATTTGTGTTCAAAGTGTAAGAAGTAGAAAGTACAGGTATTTGAGTTCAACCTGTATTTTGGGGAGGGGTTACGATTATTTTAAAGGGTTTTCACTCTTTGTGTCGTCCCCTTCAGAATAAAAAACTACTTCCTGCCGCCCATTCCCAAGCCGCGAATCATGGGCATCGACCCGCTGCTCCTGAAGGTAACACACAAACACTGTCACACACACGCACACTGACACACACACACACACACACACACACACACACACACACACACACACACACACACACACACACCACACACACACACACACATAGAGTTGCAAAGGGGTGGAACATTTCCGGAAGGTTTCCATGGGAAGTTAAGCTGGGGAATTTTGGAAATATTCGATGCAAAATTAAACAAACAAACATGATATTTCAACAGATTTTTAAAAAGATATATTTTATTGAGCAATTATTTATTTCATTGAAGAACGAAAACAGGAATGTTGAGTTAAATATTACTCACCGGTGCATGTGATGGAGGAATGCACAGTGCCTGTAGGGGGTGTGGTCTCAATAGCCATGCAGTGAGCAGGGTGCTATGGCGTGGATATTCAAGTGTGCTTGAACGGCATCTGTTTGTTAAGATTATGCTAAAATATACTTTCCCCAATATATATATATATCTCTATCTAAGTTCCCTTTGAAGAGCCAACCTTCAGTTTAGAAAAGTCCCAGTTTATTCCCATGGAAAGTTTCCATCTTTGAAAATTCCCGGAATTTTGCAACCCTACACACACACACACACACACACACACACACACACACACACACACACACACACACACACACACACACACACACACACACACACACACACACACACCAAGGACCTACCTAAGGACTGCAGATGGAAATGAGCTATTAGCTATAATCTGGCATAATTCATCTCTTCTCTTTTCTGAGATTAATGTATTTGTATGCACGGTCCTCTTTGAAATAAATACATAATAATTAACACACACACACTCTCACAGGCACACACACTGACACACACTCTCACACACACACATGGACACACACACACTCACTCTCACAGTCACACACACACACAGTCTCACACACACACACACACACACACACACACACACACACACACACACAGAGTCTCACAGTCACACACACACACTCACTCTCACAGTCACACACACACACAGTCTCACACACACACACACACACACACACACACACACACAGTCTCACAGTCACACACACACAGTCTCACACACACACACACACACACACACACACACACAGTCTCACAGTCACACACACACACAGAGTCTCACACACACAGTCTCACAGTCACACACACACACACACACACACACAGAGTCTCACAGTCACACACACACACACACACACACACACACACACACACACACAGAGTCTCACAGTCACACACACACACACACACACACAGAGTCTCACAGTCACACACACACACACACACACACACACACACACAGAGTCTCACAGTCACACACACACACACACACACACACACACACAGAGTCTCACACACACTCACACACACAGTCTCACACACACAGTCTCACAGTCACACACACACACACACACACACAGAGTCTCACAGTCACACACACACACACACACACACACACACACACACACACACACAGAGTCTCCCAGTCACACACACACACACACACACAGAGTCTCACAGTCACACACACACACACACACACACACACACACACACACACACACACACACACACAGTCTCACAGTCACACACACACACACACACACACACACACACAGAGTCTCACAGTCACACACACACACACACACAGAGTCTCACAGTCACACACACACACACACACACACACACACACACACACACACACACACAGAGTCTCACAGTCACACACACACACACACACACACACAGAGTCTCACACACACTCACACACACAGTCTCACACACACAGTCTCACAGTCACACACACACACACACACACACACACACACACACACAGAGTCTCACAGTCACACACACACACACACACACACACACAGAGTCTCACAGTCACACACACACACACACACACACACACACACAGTCTCACAGTCACACACACACACACACACACACACACACACACACACACAGTCCCTTTATCCTTCTTTTCTGTTTCTGATTGGATGTGAAGCGTCTCTGAGCTCCAGGAGAAGCGCTATGAACATGAAATGTATTCTTGTTATGGTTGTGATCTGTGTGCTGACCCTCTCCTCTCTCCTCAGAAGGGGAACCTGGATGAGATTAACCGTCACTTCAGGAACTTCCACAGCTACACGCCCCCAAAGTACAGGGAGGAGGCGTGGGACGCTGTGAGCGACGCCTACCTCCCGACCAACATGGACGCCATGACATCACAGAGTCACGTGACACCGGTGGAGAGCGTTTCTCCCTCGTACCTGGAGAGCGTTTCTCCCTCGTACCTGGAGAGCGTTTCTCACCTGGAGAACGTTTCTCACCTGGAGAGCGTTTCTCCCTCGTACCTGGAGAGCGTTTCTCACCTGGAGAGCGTTTCTCACCTGGAGAGCGTTTCTCACCTGGAGAGCGTTTCTCACCTGGAGAGCGTTTCTCACCTGGAGAGCGTTTCTCACCTGGAGAGCGGTTCTCACCTGGAGAGCGTTTCTCACCTGGAGAGCGTTTCTCACCTGGAGAGCGTTTCTCACCTGGAGAGCGGTTCTCACCCTTATTGCTCCTTGCTTCCTTTAGCTTTCGATCCGCCGCCGGAAATCCTGTCTCTCCCGGGCACAGAGTACAGCATTATGGGTAATCCTCACCCTCCTCACCCTCCTCACCCTCCTCCTCCTCCTCCTCCTCCTCAGCGTTCTCCCCAGGACTTCTACACCTGTGTGCAGCTGATGAAGGACAGCGGCGAGGTGCACCTGGTGCCCTGCCTGCCCCCCCCGTACTGCCAAGAGTCGCAGGAGGAGAAGAAGGAGAAGATGGCCGACAGCAAAGCTATGACACATGTGGGCGAGGGAGGGGAGGCGGCGGTGCCTCTGCTACCTGTCGGCTACACGAGAAACTGAACACCTGGATGGCTTTGAAGCAGAAACTGAACACCTGGATGACTTTGAAGCAGAAACCGGAGACACCCCTCCACGCTCCAGCCGTGACCTCAAGAGTACCAAACAGCTGCAAACCAGATGCATTGTGGGTAATGAAGTCCGCCACACTTGAAGAGAGTTAGACGCTGCTGCTCTCACGTTCAAGGCGTCCTCCTCAGGAAACAGAGGTGCATCACCTGCTTTAATCCTCCACAGATTTTAAACTCTGTGTTGAACAGACCACCATTTCCCAGCGAGCGTCTCATATTCAGGATATTGGAGTATTCTGAGCATGAAATGAGTATTAATGCAATGTCTCATGATCTCATCTGCAGGTCAAATCTAACATGTATTATAAGAGTCAGGAACAAAGACCCCCCCCCCCCCTCAGGAAGACAATGTACATTTAAGCTGGATTTGTGTTTATTGCACTGAAACAAACCACTGTGTTAATGCTATATGTTATATATCAGACGAGCAGCCCCTCTCTCAGTTAAAATAATATATATATTTTAATTTGAACACGTTACAAGAAGTATTTTGTATATTATAAAGCCACCAAATCAGCAAAGCTATTTCATTTCCAATAACAGTGAAGGTGTGTTCAGGTAAATCAGACACTAATATATATATTTATCTTAACATATACATGTTTCTTGCTGGCGTTGGCTGAACGAAGGGGTGTATTATTAAAGTGTGGCCCCTTAAAGAAGCTCTAACACTGGTGCTTGGTCAGCGCAGTGTTTCTCTCACATTTTAATGTCGTTGTGCCTTTTCTTCACCGAGCCGTCGGTTTCCTCTCCTGGGAAACGCGCTTAAATGACTCTTTAAATATAAATATATACAGTATATAAATGCACATGTGTAATGTATAAAACAAGCCGCTCTTTTTTGGACTTTTATTGTGACGGAATACCACGATGTGAACTTTATTCTTGTCAGAAAAATAAAAAGTGAAAATGTAGATTAACGCGTGCACGGCTCATCTCTTTCCCCTAACACACAGGTTCTGGTAAACGTCAGATTAAGTAAATAAATAAGATTATAACGCCTCCTTTGGAACCCTTTGTTTACTTCCTGAACATAGTGACATCACCACGGAACACTCACGCTCCAACACATTGTACGTGATTGGCTAAGGGGCGGGACATCTCTAAGAGGTTGACCAATCATGACAGAGAGAGAGAGAGAGAGTGTGTGTGAGTGTGTGTGTGAGGTGTGTGTGTGAGGTGTGTGTGTGTGTGTGTGTGTGTGTGTGTGTGTGTGTGTGTGTGTGTGTGTGTGTGTGTGTGTGTGTGTGTGTGTGTGTGTGTGTGTGTGTGAGGTGTGTGTGTGTGTGTGTGTGTGTGTGTGTGTGTGTGTGTGTGTGTGTGTGTGTGTGTGTGTGTGTGTGTGTGTGTGTGTGTGTGTGTGTGTGTGTGTGTGTGTGTGTGTGTGTGTGTGTGTGTGTGTGTGTGTGTGTGTGATTAGCTGCAGGTTATTTATAGACGATTGTCAGTTGACTTCAGATAAACAGGAGGTGCGTTCAAGTTCAGAAAATAAAGTCGTTTTTTAGAGAGGTTGAGAAAATCCTAGATAGTCTTTGGTGTTAAATATGAATAATCTTCCGTTAAATTATACAATCATGTTATACTTGTATATAGTATTTGTGTTATTCATAATAATAGTAATAATATATGTGAAGGCTCCCAGGCTACAGAGCTGCTATCCAGCAAATAAATACATTTGTCATGATTTCTGCCTCATTTCCAAGGCTTTAAACTCCCAACGAGAGGCAACAATGAAGATAAATAATAATGTATCAGTATTTTCTAACATAGAGGGACACAAAGGGGTAAATATGTTCAAATGCCTCGGTTGCATATTTAACCGTAACCCTTAGAGAACTTGTAATCTAAAAAACAAGTGTTTTAATGTAAAGTATGACTGTGGGAAGTGTCATACTGATGATGTGTATTATTTAAATATTTTTCCCAGTACCAGTACTCGATTACTCTGTGGTGTCAGGTGTCAGTGGGGGGGGGGGGGGGGGGGGGGG